TTATCCTTCCCAGGTGCCTTGCCGGAGGTGAGAGAATCCAAGGCCACTTTTATTTCTGCTAAAGTTGGTTCACTGTCCAACTCTTCCAAGACAGGCAGGCACTCAATGCTATTTAGTTCCTCTTTCGTTACTGCATTCTTTCTGGAATATATTTCAGAGTAGTGCTGCATGCAGTGTTCCATCAGCTGTGCTCGGACCTGGATGATCACGCCTGCAGCAGACTTCAAGGGAGCAGATTTCTTCTGTATTGGACCTAAAGCCTGCTTGATACCATCATACATTCCCTTGATGTTACCTGTGTCCGCTGCTATCTGTATCTGAGAGCAGAGCTGAAGCCAATAATCATTGGAACATCTCCTGGCAGCCTGTTGGACTTTGCTATGAGCAAGTCGAAGAGCCTGCAAGTTGTACTCACTAGGACAGGCTTTGTATGCTGCTAGAGCTCTCCTCTTATCCTCAACGGCTGACATCAACTTCTCCAAATGGGCTTCGAACTGTCTGCCAACTTTTTTGTCTTCTTGCCAAATGTGGACAAGGCATTTGGACAGTGTTCTTGAAATTTTCCCATTGTTCAGGTGCATTTGCATCAGCTGGGCCTGGAAGGGTTTCCTCAAGCGCTTGGGCAAATTCCTCCACTTTTCTTTGATTGCGAGTCTTGCTGATGTCAATACGTGGTCTTCCTTCCTTTTTCATGTGATACAATCTCTTTGCTCACTGTTTTACTCTACTACACACCAGGGAATGATTAGTATCACAATCAGTACTCTTGTAACTGTGTTTGTTTTTGACTTCTATTGTGGACAAGTGTTGGTGCATATGCACTAATGAGAGCGACTGGTCCTGCTGATGAGTGGAGCTGCAGAGACAGGATTCCTTCACTTCCCACAGTAGGTGGAACAATGGATCTCAGCAGAGTATTTCTGACCGCAAAGCCAACACCATATCCCCTGGTCTCATTCAATGGTTTTCCCTGCCAGAAGAATGAGAAGTGTTTTTTTCTTTGCCAGATCCCATGTCTGGCAATTTCATCTCTTGCAGGGCAACAATGTCTATCTGCAGTCTATTCAGTTCCATGTCGATGAGAGCTGTCTTGCGCATGTCTTCTATTTCCTGCAGGTCGTTAGAAAAGCCAGGGGTCATTATCTAAACATTCCAGGTGCCCAACTTTAGGGCAGAAGTTTTCTTATGACTGTTGCATGGTGCACGTATATCTATCTGCTTGTCAGCTTTCACCTTAAATCCCGAGGTTAACAGAATGTAATGAGATAGCACCTTACTGGCTGGGGACTGCCCAGCTTAAGGCGGGCGGTAGCTACCTAGTGATGTGCAATGACCTCTTCCACCATTGGAAATAGCCCCTGGTGTCATGTTCTATGCCTATCAAGCAAAGACTTATAACCCGTAACTGCTACTTCCTGTGTTATTTTGACACTGTATGTGAAGCTGGAATGTCCTCTCCAGAGCACGAAGCCTGGGTAAAATAATATGGAGGACAGGCTTTTACCCCAGCAGCAAACCCCCCTCCACATTGCTGAAATAATCCAATGGAAAGGCAAGAGCCAATGGTTCCAGCGACATCGCAGGAGTTGCCAGAACGACACGAACTGCCTCCAGGACTCTGGCTCTGGATTTTGCCTCAAGGTTTACTCCTGAAGCCTTTTCCATCAGTGGATATAGCCACAGGGCAGTGGAGGTTTGAAATCGGAGTTTTCCTTCTCCTAGATGGGCTGCCTTCCAAGGCTGACGAGCCCCACCTACCCAGCCTGCTCCCTAAGAGTGCAGGGATTAGAACACAGGCTTCCAGCTGCCGGACCTTTATTTTATTTATATATTTATTTATTATTGGATTTCTACCCCTCCTCTCTAGACAGAGTCTACTTCGGGGCAGCTTACAAAGACAAATAAAACATTATAAAATACAATCAAATAAAATCATCAAGTATATATAAATCAATCACATAATTAAATCTCCAAGAGGACCACCAACTTAGAGGAGGAATTAAAGAACCTCTTAATGAGGGAGAAAGAGAAGAGTACAAAAAAAATGGTCTGAAACTCAACATTAAAAAACATCAGGTATGAGTCCCCTCAAGATATGGAGGAAGTGACAGATTTAACTTTATTGGGCTCTATGGTCCCTGCAGATGGTGACAGCAGCCACAAAATTAAAAGATGCCTGCTTCTTGGGATGAAAGCCATGACAAACCTAGACAGCATCTTAAGCAGAGACATCACCTTGCCAACAAAGGTCCGCATAGTCAAAGCTATGGTTTTTCCAGGAGCAATGTATGGAAGGGAGAGCTGGACCATAAAGAAGGCTGACTGCCAAAGAATTGATGCTTTTCAATTGTGGTGCTGGAGGAGGCTCTTGAGAGTCCCCTGGACTGCAAGGAGATCAAACCAATCAATTCTGAAGGAAATCAACTCTAAGTGCTCACTGGAAGGACGGATTCTGAAGCTGAAGCTTCAATACTTTGGCCATCTCATGAGAAGAGAAGACTCCCTGATGTTGGGAAAGTGTGAAGGTAAGAGGAGAAAGGAAATGACAGACGACGAGATGGTTGGACAGTGTCACTGAAGCTACCAACATGAATTTGACCCAACTCCTGGAGGCGGTGGAAGACAGGAGGGCCTGGTGTGCTCTGGTCCATGGGGTCACGAAGAGTCGGACACGACTTAACAACTAAACAACAACAGACCTTTCTGGACTTGCACTGTGAATGGCCTGTAACCTCACCATTTCTTATTAAAATATGGTACCTTGGTATCATAGAGAATTTTCTTTACACCAATATTAGCTTTATATTCCTGCAGGTCAAATTCTATTTGCTCATACTGTTTCATTTCCTCTTCAGTAAGTGGGATAACATCATCGTAGATTCCAGGTATCAGAATGCAACCAGATGAATTGACAAGACTATCTGTAGAAGAGACACATTTTCAAACACTACAATATGCATCTCCAATTGTCTCATGCCTTGTTATAGGCAGTCTACTCAAGACACTTCTTAACCTTGATCTATTTCTCTGTGTGTTCTGTGCCATCAAATCAGAACTGACTTACAGTGACCCTAATAGGGATTTCAGGGTTAGTGAGATATTTAAGGAGTGATTTTACCAATTCCACTCCCCCAATTCCATGGCTGAGTGGGGTTTCGAACCCTGTTCTCCAAAGTCCTAGTTCATTACTATATCCACTACACCACACTGGAAATCATGTGGCACATGTAACCATTACCTGTAAGGGAGAAATGTCTGAGGACAGGGCAGCTCATGAACTGAGTAGGAGAGGTGCCTCTCCTCCAATTAATCTATTTAGTTAATAACTATTTATTGTCACGTCTATTTTTTTAAAAGGGGGGGGCTTTTTGAGCCAGAACAAATTTGGGGAAGATGGCACATCTCATGTCCCAGAACATTCTGCAGACACAGAATGCCATTTTGGGAGCCAAAAATAGATTTGCTGTGTAGTTCGGAGCATCTGGGGTGGAATGGGGAGACACTAGGGTCCTCTGCAGGCTGATGTAAGGCATATTTTGCTCATCCTGGATTTCGTTTTGTAGGAAAAGGACAAACAAATAATTTTCTTCTTGTATGCAACACTTAACCATGACTGCTGTTCTTTCTCATGCTGTTTTTGCCATTTTAAATATAAGAACCAGAGTCTTCTTCAATCAAACCACCTGAGCAACAGACTCTAGCATAAGTGGCTTGACTGTTTCACCAACTGCAAAAGAAGGGATCCAGTACTTCCTTGTGTGAGCAGAACCATTGTATGTTCCCAAAGCAATCTCTGCTTCTGCATCTGCAAACAGGAACATCCTATACAGTACTTACCACTACGGTGGAGCAGAAAACCTCTGGTGATTTTACATTTGCAGTAAACCACTTAAGCCAACATAAATTTTACATTTTAAATTAAGCCAAAAAAAGTTGAATTGTATGAATACATTCTCTTCCCCAATTAATGTTCACCCAAATTGCATGAGGAAGTGGAAACTGGGAAGCTTCTATAGCTGGAATTGAGAAGTGAGAAGGGCATATGTCAAACACATGTGACAGCACATAACAACAAGAGTTAGTATAGTTGGCACCCAATTTCATGTTCAGTTGCCATCAATTTTACCCACTGTGGTATTTTAGAACTATAGTGAATGCCTCAAAGAAGAATGGGTTGGCTCAAGACATTTTGTTGACTGAGGCAAAGGCCCCTTCACTTACAGAAGCCAGCTGAAACTGGCAGCTGAAGCTGACTTCAGTTCAGGCAAATGGATAAATTCCTCTAAGGCAGCAGCCTAGTTTAGGGAGTATAAGAGAGGGGTCTGTGGTACATGTAACCACTGCCTCTCAGAGGGAAATGTTTGAGGACAGGATTAAGTAGGGGAGGTCCCCCCCCCTCACAACATTTGAAGTGGGTCTTCTCTAGTCGAGAGCTGTCTGTGGATGGCAGCCTATTGTGCTGGATACAAGAAAATACTTCCTGAGTTGCTTATCTCACTCTGCTAAATAGGCCAGTCCTGAAAACAGATAGTAACTACCTTTACAACAGTGTACCTTGAAATAACAAAAAGTGCTGGAAATAATAAAATAAAGGAAATAACAAAAGTGTCTGCATTAACACTTTGCAGTCCTATCGGTCCTGGCTATTATCCTTTCCCTACTCTATCTGTTCTCAGAGCATCTCTCAGGCATACGTGTGCTGAGACATGTATACTCATTTACAAAGTTGACTTTTAAAAATTAACTGTATTCCCTGCACATCAACTTTCTGGATAGTACAGAGACTACATGCTTAACTCTCTTATGCAAACAACAATAAGAATCCTAATCGCTTGAGGCATATGGGCATTTTAATTTCTGGCTAACCAAAATCCAGGAGAACAAAGGAAATTCTTACCAAGTAGAGCTATCAGATCAGACATGGGTTCATTGATAATGCCACCTACACCACCTGAATGCAGATCTTTTTCACCACCACTGACCTAATTAAAACAAAGACAACATAATGGCTAACACATAAGTTTCACTGCTTTAATTATTACTACAAATAAGATGGGGCGGGGGAGGGGGACGGACCACACACATTTCAAGTAATTTAAATTTGTAGTGCTGACATTTCGTCTGTGCTCACATCTGAAATTTAAATTACTTCATTTCTTCCATCATTCAGACTATCTGCATTGAATCAGCACAATCTGAAAACCTTCCCCCACCCTAGCCATGACCAAGATAGCATAGGTGGTGTTGATGATGATGATGTGGAAGGTGCCTTTTCTGTGAAGGAAAAATTATGCTAATGATTTGCCCCTGAATTATCTCAGATTGTACCAGCAAGAATAGCAGTCATTATGGATGCACAGTATATTCACAGAGAAGAAGGACCACTTGGAAATCTTGAGGACCATGAAGACTGCAATTGCTTTGTGAAGTGAACATGCTGCGTCAGCACCTTTTTCTTGTTGCCTTTTCCTCCCAGAGGCTGGACATCATCATCATGCTTATTCCAATTTTTGATGCAACAACTCTAAACAGTATTGCCGTGTTGTGCCCAAGTGACTTCTGGTATTTTAGGCCAAGATGTTCTTCTCTTTCTTGAATTCCCCTTCCCATTTATTTTACCTTGAATGACCAGCTGTAATAATCTATACCTTTTGTTTCTCATTATATAGCCAAAATGTTCTAGCTTTCTACATTTCATCTGTTTTATGACTCCTTGGTCTATACAAGTTCACCTCTTTGTTGGTCAGCCTCTCAGGCCAATAAATTGTCAGCAACAAAATGCTTTTGTCTTCTTTACTGTAACCTGTGTCAGAATCCTCAGTTCCCTCTCATGCAACAGAAGCCTCATATATCCAATAATACACATCCATCTCAAACGCTCCTCAGTTATCCCACAGCTGGGAGCCTGCATAAGCTTGGAGGTCTGTATGGAACATTCAGGGAGGAAAAATACTCAAGCTTTTTCACTGGAAACTTTTTGCAATGACTACTGAGAAGTACTACTATAAGGAGTTGGGTGCACAAAGTATTCCATGCACAAAACATGTAGTGGGTAGAATGTTATGTCTGAATCAGGGAAAACTTTATTTCAAATCACTGGGTGAGATTCAATATAATTTTTCCACTGCTGGAATTGATTCTGTCAGCAGAATCAGAAAGGAAGTACTCCTGAAGCCCATGCACACTCTGAAAATTTTCTAGTGTATGTGTGTGGGGCTCTGCATCAGATTTTCAAGAGTTGCTGATGGAAGTAAGTAGACAAGGAAGAAAGCCCAACAGCATTAGCAGAATTTTGCTCCCACAGCATTGACTTCCTATCATCCATAAAGCTCTTTTTGGAATGTCACTTTCTCATCTGTCTCAGAAGGTTGTTGTGAGTCAAAAATGAGGTAACTGTGTAAATCTAATTTACAAGAAAAGAGAGTGGAAAACATATATGATACTGTAAATAAATACCTCAGATGTAATAATGAAGTGACTGTGGCTGAATGTAACTAGTAGTCCCAACTAGACTAGACTAATTAAATCAAAGCCATTTATGAATGCCCATTTGTAGTAACAATTTGCACTGCACAAGCCAAATCAAAACTCCACAAAAATCGTGTTCAGAATATTGGGGACACATACATATGACTCCAATTTTACTAGTTTACCTCCACAGAAAAGCAGGCATTTCCTCGAGTTCCATATGTAAGAGCTGGTTTTTTTGTGGTGAGCCATAAATTATCTGAAATCACGATATAGTCAACATTTGAAAAAAAGCAATCCTTCTCTTTTTTAATTAATTCTTCTAATCCATTGGACCCTGATTCTTCCATGCCTTCAATAAGAAATTTGATGTTTACTGGCAAATCCTAAAAAAAGAAACTTTCAGTTACCCTCAAGCCACAGTCTCAACAAAAGGTGTTCCAAAAATGCTATTATACTCTCCAGAAGAATCACAGTAGGCAAGCCATGTAAGTTTATTATTCCATTTTTAAAAAGTGATCCATGCTTTGTATCTTCATGAAAATTAACTTTGTAAAACTCCAAAGCTTGCAGCATCTCACTGGGATGAAGTTTTCCAGCAGGTGCTTTTTATAGACCAGTCCTGCTATCATGAAAAGTTTTTAACTGGTGATGCTGAGTTAAATGTTAAGTCATATACTCTGCCTAGATTAACCTGATAGACTGGAATTTCTGTGGTCCACAGCTTGGAGCATTTACAGTCTCAATCTGCCTGACAGCTGTTGCATAATTATGCAATAATTAAGCAGAGCTGCTAGCTGTTGTGTCCAGTACTGAGATTAATATCTGCTTTACTAAGGGACTATATCTGACCACTTTGCCAGTGTATTGAAATACTATAAATTGCTCAGAGGGCACCATCCTAAATGTGTGGATTTACACATTCTCCTCTCCTGCCACCAGAGTAGTAGCACATTTTAAAGTGCAGACACTTATCATGAGAGTCTCTGTATTCACCCCTTGTCTAAAAGGCAGTGCAAAAATGCAGGCAACTTTGAAAAATTCATATCTACAAACTAGTTCTACAAATTTTCATCTGTACCAGGAGCAGACCTTGGTAAGAGCCTTAATGACTCATCCAAGGCGAAGCCATCCTCCAAATACCTTGAATTAGAAAGGAAACAGGTCCTAATAATATTTGTTGTAAGAAAAACACATTTCCTCCCACCTAATGTGAGGTTTTGCAGCTCCATCAGTGTCTGGGGAGCCAGATTTTCCCCACACCTTAGATGTGAAGTAAAAGATTGGTCTTTTCTTCGTCTGTGTCAAAGCTCCAAGCCAAACTGCCCCCCATGGCTGTTTTTTGAATAAGATGCTGACACATAAAACATCTAAGATGCTTCTGTGCACATTTTTACTCACTATGTTTAAATTTATGTATGTGCTCAATGCATTTATCCAGGCCAAGACAGGTCCTTTGTTATCTGTTGTTCCACGCCCATAAAAGTTACCTTAAGATAAAAGAAACCAATATTACAGACTAGGGAATTTCTGACAGTGCTATAGGTAGACCAAAGCTGGTGTATTAAAATGGCTGAGAGACAGAGTGATGAACGAAGGGGCCCCTAATTTGAATCTTGCTTCTACCATGAAGTTACTAGTAAAACTGGCTTTAAAGGCAAGCCCTGCTACCCAGCCTCAGTAAATGCATCTATAATGGAGAAATAATAACATCGTACTAGCTTTAAGGGCTGTACAAATTACAGCTAGATAGTGCAGGTGAAAATAGCAGTATAAATTTGTGCAATTTTAAATACATTCAGGACCCTCCCTCAAACCTTTAAAAAAAGAGGTAATTTGAAGGCTGTTCATTTCCCCTTGCTGACACATGAGTGCTCTATCTCACCCACCCTCTCTCCTTCCTGAGATGCAAAACAATATGGTAAATACAACTGTAGATATTTCCTGCAGAACCATTCCCTTCTCCCCTGCGGCAAAGTCAGCCACAAAATAATGAACAAGAAATTGCTGGATTGCAGTCAGTAGAACCATTCCCTTCTCCCCTGCGGCAAAGCCAGCCACAAAATAACGAACGAGAAATTGCTGGATTGCAATCAGTGCATATATAGTGCCGTAGAAAGTTATAGTGCTTGATTATTTGGAAAGGGTCTAAGAAAAAGCACAGAGACAAACCCTCCGGGGGGGGGGGGGGAAATAAAAGCTGCATTGACAATATTGTGGTCTTGTTGCAGTTAAGAACTTCTTCAACTAAAGATACTAGCAGCTACCATTAGTCGGGGGGGGGGGAGAGATAAAAGCTGCATTGACAGTATTGTGGTCTTGTTACAGTTAAGAACTTATTCAACTAAAGATACTAGCAGCTACCATGAGCCTTGCTGGTTTTGGTGATAGCTGTAGCTGCAGTCTATTGACTCCACTTATCTGGGACTAAGCCTAACTGAACAATGGGACTTACTTACAATGGCCAAAGTCCTATTGTAGAGTTATGCTGGAGGGAGGACACTGGTGTAACTTATAGCAGAAATTGTTATTGATTAATGAATTAACACTTGTTAATTTATCAACAATCAAAATTAATTAATCGAAAGCAAAAATACGTACCATCAATTTCAGTCAAGATATAGGGACGGGTTTTCCATCCATCTTCAATTTTGGCAGGCATCACATCTACATGCCCATAAAAACATACAGTGGGTTTTAATGGATCTTCCCCAAGCTTTGCTAGAATAACAGGAGGCAGTGAAATGTTCTGGCCATCAGGCAGCTGTTGGAAGATACCAAGACATTATCAAATGAACCCGAGGAAAACTTCTACCAGCAAATAACAACAGGTTTATTATTTGAGGTGTTCTCTTATAATAACTATTTCTACAGAAAATATTGGTTTGATTTCTGTTTAGATGCGTTCCTATATTTACTGACTTCTGCAGATCTAGACAGAAGCCAGACTTCTTTTTTATTCATTTGAGGTTTTTTGATGTTGATTCCAAGAGGCATCTCGAGGCCAGATGTCGGCGGGGGGGGGGGGGGCATTGTTAATGTGAGGTGCTGCTGGGCCTCAGTGTATATGTAGAGTGCATTTTGTCCTCACGCATTATCCTGACCTCCACACTGAGCAGTTATGAGCTCTCATTTTTAGGCTTTACTGTATATAGTTTCTTGGAATTTCACTACATCAGGGCAGTGGGTGAAATGAACAGTTGCACCACCAAGCTACTAGGTGGTTATTAGAGCACCGCTGCTGGTGGTGGTGGCTATCACTAAATAGCACGTTGCATGAGAGAGCCTACCAGAGAATTCTCAGCCAAGGGCTCCCTCAAACAAAGAGTCAGCCCTTGTCCTCTGTTTAATTATCATGGCTCTTAATTATATGTCCATCAAGGCCAGGCAGCTGAAGACATTTTGGTGACTGAGATAACAAATCTACATTATACCTCCATGATGGTACAAATATTATATCGCCCACGTTAAGAACCACTGATATAATGGGACTCCACCCCATCATTACACCCTTGCCTCTTGTCCCTTCTGACATTTAAGTGACCTTATGCAGTGCAAATCAGAGGCATGCAGCTGTTAAAAAAAACAGAGATACCTCTCCCTCACTCACTGGCAAAAACTGCCAGTGTCTCTATAGATGCAAGACAAGACCAATAATAGCTGGATACCTGCTGAACGCCAATATCAACGAGTGTCGTTTTTGCCCCTAAATCTTGAAGTCTGGCTGCAGCAATCTTCATCATTCGTGTTACTTCTCCTCGCAGCTGTGGTTGTATGGAATCACTCTCCACTGCCACCCATTCAGCAAGATTCTGCATGGAAAGCCAACCTTATGAAATTGCATTACAAAGTTCCTATGTCTTGTGTGTTCACATTTTACTTGGTTTTTGAGATGCGAGGTGGAGAGCCTTTGCACTCCAGTTGAAACACAGACAATGATGCTATTCTTTTCTTACATAGTGTTAGCTTAGATGTAGCAGCAGCTGGACTCCAGTTTTTTTGGGGGGGGCGGTACGAGTGCACTTCAGGTTTCACCCCATATTTTACAGGACCTATCTGAGGTGAGCACTATGCCCAAAATAAATTCAGTACCTTGGACAACATCCCCCCATTAACCAAAACCTTGAGAGGATTTACAGCACCCCAGAAATGGGGGTCACCAGTCACCATTGCCTAGGCAGAAGCTGCAGGTGTTTGAAATCATCAACAAAAGACCACTTCCAATGAAGAGAAAATTCAATGAACAATACATTTGTGAGGAGGAAAAGATGGCATCCATTGCAACTGACTTCATGACTAAGGGGGAGATTGGATAAAGGTGAATCTTGATCAGATGGTGGATGATGAAAGAATATGCAGACAGTAAATAACAGGATCACACCAAAGGAACTGAAACTACTGTTGTTGCTACCTCCATTGCTCCATGGAGACACATATTTGTGCAAGCATAGTTGCATGTTTCTCCACTCCTAACAGAGAACACCTTCTAGAAACCACACACCATTTGCTTAGATCACACACCAGACTAGTTTTCCATCTTCTTGTGGCAATGAGCAATCTAATGACTGAGTGATGATCTAATCTGAGGATTTCTGCATGCACATACTACAGTTTGCGAGGCTGGCAGCTTGAACTTCTGCTGGACCAGGTTAAATGGCAGAAGAATGGGGATAGGAAAAAAGAGTGTAGCAGAGAAAGCCACAGAAAACAGCTTCTTCTATTGTAACAGACTTATCAGTTTCAGGATACAAGATAATATTTCAATATGGTCTTTAACCAGTTTTGACTATTATGGTGATGTTTGCTTTTTTAAAAATTAAAGTGGTGTTTGCTAGTTGCCTGAAACACTAAGGCAGGATAAGGATGTAATAAGAAAGCAAAACCAAATGGTTCACCAGATGTAAGCACCGGCTATTGTTCCTACAAATTTGCAAATTGGTGGGTAAGTGTTCTTTGGATATGATTTCATGTTTGTGAGACGTTTGTACTTATACAATAGTGGTAAGAGATTTATGCATGCAAACCTACTTACAAAATTTAGAAATATCTCTGAAATGTTGCAAACATCTCCATATCTAAGTATATTAAGGAAAATAATTATGTTTAATACCCTAATTAATCTCCTTTTTCTTTTTTCTTTTTTTTGTTAAAATAGCTTTCTCACATCCTATGCCTTCCAGATATGCTCAGTGGGTTGGATGAGGGATGCTGGAGTCAAGCACATCTGAAGGGCACCAAATTGTAGAAGGCTGGCCTAGAACATATAATCTAATAAGTGATCCATAATAGCAACAAGCATTTGCACACAGTTTTTTTGAGTACCAACAGAATATGTTCATCTCTTTTACACTTTGCAAGACCCCTGCAGAGTAGGTTGGTATCCTAATCTTCTGATAAAAGGATTGGGGACCAAGATTGTGAAATGGGAACCAAGATTGCCCAAGATTCATCATGGAGGATGTCTGAAAAAGTTATTTCCTCTTGATTCATAGCTCTCATTATTCTACACCAGCCATTATGCTATACCCAGAGCTTAGAAATACATTAAATTTTCCCTGAAAGGCTCATTAAAAAGGATGGCATTCAAGAAGGTCTTGCATGAGTGATCCATCTTTGTAAATCCTGTTTCCTTCTAATTACTTCTAAGGGACCTGTCAGTGTATAAGCTATACTTCTAGAAGGTAGCATGGAGGAGTAGGAGCAGCAACAAGAATGTCTACACACACACACACACACACACACACACACACAGACGCCTTCCCTTCCTGTTGTTTCACTTTGATAATTGCACTCACCGTCTACTGTGACATAACTTCGCCCCCCCCCCTCTAGTTTGCTTACTGGCACAGTGAATAATGCATATGCCACTTGAAGTTAATGTTGAAGGCCAAAGTAAACACAATGAATCAGTTCTACATCTTTACCGTTCATGTCTAATACAGGTATGTAAGGTGTTGTTGCAGGGACAGGATCAGGACTCAGTCGGCACTAAGATTCATTCTACTGTTCATGGAATTGTAAGTCATCTTTCAACCATTACCAGAATCTTCCCATCTTTTGGTTGTTAGAAGAATTTCTATTTTGTGCTCTTTGTACCTGAACAAATTCATCCTGATGCTCATCAATATACTGGAAAAGTCGTTTCTCCTCCAGGGATAAGGAACCAGAAAATGAGGAACTGCCCGCATCAAGGAACAGCATGATAAGGGAGATATGGAATATCTGTAGGATTCAAATACAAGTTTTAGCATGTTAAAAAAAAAGCATCCTCAGAGATGTGCAGTGAGGACAGTCTGTGTCAGGGGTGTCCCAAGAGATTCTGTTGCTCAAGGCTCCATTTCACAAATAGAAGCTGGTGGGTTCTGCTCTTTTAACGCTGCCAGAGAGAAAGAGCTCTCCAATATACCTGAGGGCACTGGCTTATTTAGGGGTGAAGGACATGTTTTGTCAGAGAGAGGAATGATCCAGGGCATCTCAGGAAGAACTGCTTTGGATTGCCATTAGTGGTCCTCAGCATCTTCAGCCCGAAGTGGTTGTTTCACTCACAGTGTAGTTTTGCATCTACAGGCGGTATGGCAAGAATGAATGAACGAACGAATAAACAAACAAACCAAACAAATAAATGGGACTCTCTGAACCGCTAGGATAGATCATAAGGCTGGCCACACAGGCAATATTTCATGAAATATGAATATTTCAATATTAATTTCCTCTGCCCCTTCAAAGAGAGGAGGAAGTGTTTGATTTGCCAGCATCCTGAACTGGCTCTTTCCTTAAGCCATGATATTGGTAAATTGACAGCAAGCCAAATAGGATCTCTACCACAGCTAAGGGAGGAGGTAGAAGCAGTCTGGCTGAGGGAAGCTGACATCGAGATGGAGCAGTGTCCCTAAAGGCCCAGCCTCCACTGCCATCCAGTAACGACCCCCAACTTTCTGTAAACTTCCTGCACCGCAACCTTTTTCTATACCCATGACTTATCCATTTTTGCCACTATTCACACCAAATACGTACTTTTTTTTTCAGCTGTGAAGACTTGCCTGCCAGGCACAAACTGCTTCTGTCAGAACACTTGTCCAGAAGCCAGATTCCGATGCAATCCTATATAGATTAATTTGGGAGCCGGCAATATGCCCACTGTGTGTTTACTGGCCGATCCTTTTTCTATACCCATGACTTATCCATTTTTGCCACTATTCACACCAAATACGTACTTTTTTTTTCAGCTGTGAAGACTTGCCTGCCAGGCACAAACTGCTTCTGTCAGAACACTTGTCCAGAAGCCAGATTCCGATGCAATCCTATATAGATTAATTTGGGAGCCGGCAATATGCCCACTGTGTGTTTACTGGCCGATGGAAGTGCATTCGGGATGCAAACATCCTAAATCTTGAAGCAAAGTGCGGGGCTGGCGAAAGCGGGAGGCGAGCGGGCGAGCGGGCGGACGCGCCCCGGAGAGGAGCGCTTACTTACTTACCGAGAGCGGTCGCCCGGGGTCTCGGCAGGCTGTCCGTCTCGCCGCTCCCTCGCTCGCCTGCTCCTACCTGGCCTCGCCGGCCGGGGAAGGTGAGCGCCCGGCAAGCGCCGTCCAGCCGTCGAGGGCTCGCTCGGGACGGACGGACGGAGCGGCTTCTCGGTCCCGATGGCGGGCAGGCTGCAGGGCGCCTTCGGATCCCGCCCCGCCGCCGCTGGAGGCGGAAGAGGTCAAAGCGGGAATGCCCGAGGGGGGGAGAGAGGCGAGGGCAGGGCGGCCAGGTGCCCCCGCCAACGACCCTTGGATCCTTGCGGCTTCGGCCATAGCCCAGTGAATGTTCAACAGCAGCTCATCCAGGCTAGAGCCGTTTACCCGCGAGAGAGCCAGCGTGGGGTAGGGAACAGAGGGAGGGACCCGGACTCAGGACAGCTGCCTTCAAGTCCCAGCTGGGCCACGGAAACTCACTGGGCTGGCACCGGTCAGAACACTGCTTAAATACCACCACCCCCTGCTATTTGTCTCTACTCTTCCTTTGCAGCCTGGCAAAAAAAAAAGGGCAATGCGGTTTTAGGATGCATCAACAGAAATAACACTCTCCAAATCCTGTGAGGTACTCGCCCCCCTCTATTCAGCACGGGTTAGGCCTAATCTAGAGTAGGGTGTCCAGTTCTGGACATCGGACTTTAAGAAGGATGCCAACAAACTGGAGCACTTTTCGGAGGGGAGCCACAAGGATGATAAGGGAGCTGGAAACCAAGCCCTATGGGGAAAGACTAAAAGCATGTTTAGCTTTGAGAAAAGAAGAGGGAAGGGTGATAAATTAGCACTTTTCAAATACTTGAAAGGTGGCCATACAGAGGAGGGGCAGGATCTGTTCTCAACCATCTCAGAGTGCAGGACGGGTAATAATGGGCTCAAGCTACGGGAAGCCAGATTTAGGCTGAAAATCAGGGAAAAAACTGCTAGAGCAGTAATACAATGGAACCAATTACCTCGGGCGATGGTGAGCGCTCCGGTGCTGGGCATTCAAGAGAAAATTGGACAACCATAGATACAGAGGAGGGGCAGGATCTGTTCTCAACCATCTCAGAGTGCAGGACGGGTAATAATGGGCTCAAGCTACGGGAAGCCAGATTTAGGCTGAAAATCAGGGAAAAAACTGCTAGAGCAGTAATACAATGGAACCAATTACCTCGGGCGATGGTGAGCGCTCCGGTGCTGGGCATTCAAGAGAAAATTGGACCACCATATGTCTGATCTGTTTTGATATGGATTCCTGCCTTGAGCAGGGGGTTGGACTCAATGGCCTATAGGCCCCTTCCAACTTAAATGATTCTGTGATTCTATCCGGCACACCCTGGAAGCCACAATAGGGACGGATGGTGACCCTATGAATGAGCGATTTCTATAACGTCCTGTCCTCAAGTGCCACATTCACCTCTTGTAAACTCAAGCATGTTGATCCTTTAGGGAGTCAGTCCGTCTTGCATTTCGTCTTCCTGTTTCCCTGCTGCCTTCCACCTTTCCCAGCATCTTTACCTTTTCCAGAGAATCCTGCCTTCTCATGTGTATCCGCAGCATCTTTACCTTTTCCAGAGAATCCTGGCTTCTCATGTGTATCCAAAGTAGGACAGCCTCAAGTGTCATCATTTTTGCCTCCAGAGAAAGTTCAGACTTGATTTGATCAAGGACCTACTTGTTTGTCTTTCAGGCAGTCCAGAGTATCTGCAAAGCTTCCCTCCAATACCGTATTTCAAATAGTCCAGAGTATCTGCAAAGCTTTCCTCCAACACCGTATTTCAAACGAATCACTTTTAAACATTGTCAGCTTTCTTAATTGTCCCACTTTCATACCCATATGTGGTGATTGGAAATACAAGTTTTCACTCCTATTAATTTTAACCACCAGGGACAGGATAGTGATCTAAGACGCTGCCTTACATCAGTTCAGACACCTAAGCTGTCACATGGCAGAGTAATTCAGATAATGCCACACCCTAAGATGTAAGGAGGATTTTATTATACCCAGCATGCACAGACATATAGTAGAAATCATGGTAAGTCTCATTTCCCTATTGATCAGCACCTGATGTGTGCAGTAAAATGTGAGTTGTCAGGATAATACAGATGACCTAAGCTGCTGTGGCAAGTTAATCTTTCTGAACTCCTTGGAAAACATATGCAGTGAAATGTGTATTGCAGGGAGGCTGCTGTGTGTTATGCGCATAAGTTGGAACCAAGTTATAATGACCCTAACAGGGTTTGCAAGGTGAGATATTTAAGGGGTCGGTTTACCCGCTCCATCTCATCCACCACTATGAGTTTCCATGGCTAAGTGGAGAATCAAACCCAGGTTTCCTGTGTCCTAGTTGACTAGACAACATAGGACATTCTGCAAAGACATTATTTATATCTAAATTCCAGGAATGCAGCTTAAATAAGCCTTACCATGGTAAAAATTCAGGTGATGATGAGACAACAATTTTCTTCCTCTTTTCCTGTCCAGTGTAGAAAATAATGCTCCTTCACAGACCACTGCTTACTGGTTCTCTTTTAATTTGGAGCTAAGCCTTTTTATAAGAGCAAACCTTCTCTGTCTTTTTATTTGTTGATTTTGAACATTTATTGTTAGCACATTGTAACAGGAGAACAAAGGCAAAATATCCTTCCTTATTTTACAAGGAAAAGGTCCAACATTCCACATATTGTTGTTCAAAGACTTCAGACAAATAAGGCACATTGAAACTATTTGTCTCTTAGTCGATCAATTCTCCACCCCTACTTTGAAACTAATTTGTTATTTGTTCCAAGGAGATACAGTCATGAGTAGCCAGAAACTAGGGAAAACAAAAACCTGGCACCCCAAAAACTTAAATATTTTCTTTGGCTTGTTTGCCATTCTGATATGGAAGCTTTATTAGACATGATACTAGGATAAAGAAACCGATATAAAAGGTATAGCCAGATTAAAACAAAATAAAAAACATCATACAAAGTGTGTTCAAGAACTGAAAGAAATACTTTATGTCAATAATGGTAAAATATGGTACTTCTACCATTATTTCACATTTTGGTCTTGTAGGTGATAGATTATGAGACCAATATAGGATTTCTATAAATGCAGCAGAAACGGGATGAAATAGAAGGGGTTAACCCACAGTGTCACATGGTCCAAGGAGACAAATTTCGCAGCTTGCAATTTTCACTAGTTATGCAAAATGTGAGATACTGAAACAAACAGGAAAACAGATGTTAGCCATTTAAAACTGACAAGTAAGGTTATAATGGAAATACTTAACATCATAACCAACCTGGCTGGATATATTGTGAGACAGAGCACCTGGCTGCAAAACCAGGGGTTCAGAATTCAATTCCCTACTGCTTAGAACAGTGGCTCTCTACCTTGGGTCCCCAGATGTTCTTGGACTACAACTCCCAGAAGTCTTCACAACTAGCAGGGTTGGCCAGAATTGTGAATCTTCACAACTAGCAGGGTTGGCCAGAATTTGTGAAAGTTGTAGTCCAAGAACATGGGGAGACGCAATGTTGGAACTACTACAAAGAGAAAAGCCAGCCTCTTTGATGTTGGGCAAGCTGCACAGTCTGTCAAAGAGAAAAGCCAGCCTCTTTGATGTTGTGCAAGCTGCACAGTCTATAACTGTCCCCAGAAGACGGGAATGGCAAACTACCTCTGAGAAGTCTATACCCAGGAAATCCTGGAAAAGGTAGCTGTAAGTTAGAATTGACTTAACAATACATAATACTATAATCAAGTTAGCTGCTGAAAATACAGAATTCCTTCTTAAATTCTCTCATATATATCTGAGAAATGACTTAAACCCCTGCAGTTTTATTAATCAGCAGAAAGTGATTAGTTCATGCTAAAAAGCAATTCCTTTTAACTCAATCAGCATATATAAATAAAGAATTTACATTTTAACTAAATGCGGTCAGCTAATAGAATGAAAAGAAACTTGAATACATTTGGTTGCAACTTGATAAGCACCAAACAGCCAAATAGTTTTATCTCCCCTCTTCTAAAAAGACTGGGCTAAAATTGGCTCAAGTCTAGATTAGTTTCAGTTTGTTTTGTAGACCCTTGCCACAGTGATGCAAACTATAATTTGTTAGGTGAAATAACAATATGGTGACTTCAAAAAAACCCCCACTGAATTATATTCTAGTTGCCTAGAGTTACACTTTGTTTGCACGACTCCTTGAACACAAATCTTCACTCTTCTCTCCATCAACATCTTCAGAGGCTCAAGTGGGTTCTCTCTCTCTCTCAAAGCATTTCACAACAGGTTTGCTGGGTACACCAACTGCAATCACAGTTGGACAAAGTTATCCATGCTTTGGGTAACATTCTATTTGGACTACTTTACTGTATTGTATCCTATCCTTGAAGGCTGCTTGGAAACTTAACCAGGTACAAAGTGTCGCAGTAACATTCCCTGCTACAACTGGGCAAACAAAACACATCTCACCAGCCTTGAAACAACTATGACAGCTATTAGTTCGCAAACATATCTGACGATGCTGTTTCTCATCTTCAGAGCCCTTTGTATCTTAGGTTTTCTGGTACCTGAAGGATACTGCTCAAGATCCTTCTTCAGGTTCCTTTCCCCATCTAATATGTTTTGGAGTTCCTAGAAAAGGACCTTCCTCTTGTGTCAGAACAGCTGTAGAAAGCTCTATCTAAGGAGGCTTGCCTGGTGCCATAGTTGATGTCCTTCTGCAATCTGCAGAGGAGCTTCTGAGTAGCAAAAGAATATTATCCTTTAATACCTCCTAGACCTCAGTGTCATATTGTTATGCACACCATGCATTGAGAGTAATTTGTTGACAAACCCTAAGGTTAAGGAGTTTGTAATTTAAGAAGCAGAACTTGAACGCTTGGGAAGCAGTTACAAAGGAGACCTATGAATTCTCTTCGCCCAGGAAGGTTCTGGAGGCTCTGCAGAATGAGCCTAATCCTCATTTTCATACCCATGTTTATGAACCATAAAACATTATACATTAACTGGCACAAGGTTTGCAGAGATACCAGCAATTATTAAAAAGGTTTATGGCATATTTATACTGGGAAAGGACTCAGCAGGGAAGTACATACATAAGACTCCAAGCTTCAACCTCCATGATGTGCTGGAAAAATAATCCTGCTTGAAACCCTGGATAGTTGTTAAGATAATACTGAGTCTATAACTGTAGTAACTATAGACATATTAATATTTATTACTCAGTAGTAAAAAGACAACTATCCTTCTGCTCTAGGGAACTAACGTTTTCAGACAACAGAGGTTTTGGACTTCAACCTCATCAGCCTGAGTAATGGAAAGTTGGTCCAAGACATGTGGGAGGTCATCAGACTTAAGACAGCTGAAATAATGATTTATCTGAGCCATATTAAGTTCCTGCCCTCTTCTCTTCTGGCACAGGACTGGAGAAATCAGAAGCTATTATTTCTGTATTCGATTAAGTACAGCATGCTGTTTTGTCTGACATTAACCAATAAGCTGTGGTTAATCTAAACTATTATTTGAAACAAACCAACTTCAAACCGTGGGTTTACGAAGCTGGCTTGTATCATCGAACTGTATTTAGTATTAACCACTGGTGAGGGTGTAATGTCGAACTACAAATAATCAATGAACAGAAGTCGTGAACTGCCTATCCTTCCTTCTTCACATCTGTGCTGGAAAAGAGGGTGCCATGTACAGGCCAGAGGGATATGGCTTATTCTAATAACAATCATATCGAAACATAGCCACTTTTACAGACTTCAAAACAGCAATGGTTCTCATCCTCTAGGCCTCCAGTTCCCAAAACCCCTGACCATTGCCCAAGCAAGCCAAAGCTTCTTGGAACTGAAGCCCAGCACCTCAATCACTGAGAACTTGTCTTCTCAAGTAGATGCCCAATCCGACCACTGGTCACCTCAAATTGTCTTCCATTAGCAAAGAAGTTGCCACAGAACTGGTAGGGCCAGAGTGGTTTTATTTATTCATTCTTCCACACGAAGTACAAATAATGCGTTACAAAAATACCAGTTTGCTTTTCATAACTGAGAATCTGCTAGATCATCGAGGATTGTTTCAGACACCTGCTGGACAAGAGCAAGTGTTTGAAGGAATCCATCAGTCCGCAACTGCTCCCCACTTCCAACTCATCAAAAACTTCCCAAGAGAAGTTTGTTGCCCTCGTCTATACCTGTAACAAGAACAGTTTGTTCTTTTATCTCAAGCCAAAAGGAAAAAAAAGAGTAGGTTTTGGCATCAGAGCTACATATGGTAATATCTAATCGAACTGTCGGATTATTAAAGAAAAAAAATGGGAGCAGAAGAAACTCATCAGGCACTATTGATATTTGCCAATACTTACATACATCAGATGATGTACTACTTTCCCATATTTGCCCCTTGTCAACCTCCTTCTGCTTGGGACAACAGGTAAGGAGTTACAGATTAGCGAACTGTAGTATATGGTACTGTGTGCCAGTCAACACACGATTTAAAAAGGAACTGGAGGCTTGTCTGTATAAAGTGCTCAATACTGAGTTCAAAAATATTCTGCCACGCATTTTGAAGTAAATTAGTCTGACAGAGAAGAGTGAGCAAAAATAGTGCACTTTCATAAAGTTGCAAGGAAGTACTCAGAGGAACTTTCCAGGTCCCAATGCCACTTCATTTGCAAAACTGATTCCATGTTCACTCCTTTAACAGGGCAACTTCATGGAGGTAGGCACCCAGCAGCTTGACGCCTTGAATATAGTTATACCTAGGAAGGAAGGATCCAGTTTAGTGTGAGCCACAAACACGAAGCAGCCCTAGCAAAGACAGTACAATTTAGAACAGGGGTGGAATTTGGGAGTTAGGTCTGGCCCACAGATGAATGTCATCTGGTCTACAGGGTCAACGCCCTTCAATAGCTCCTTCCCTTTGGGAACCAGCACACGATGGTGCTTCTGTCTCCCCCTACTTGGGCAAGTCTGAGGTGTGTGGGACCAATGGCCATCACCATGGCTAAAAAGCACTAGGTGTACTTTTGGAAAGCAGCTAGCAGAGAGAGACACTGGATATCACTTCCTGAGGCAGCTGCCGGTACCACTGCCTCAACCAGACATCAAGGCATATTTCCACCATTCCTCCCCAACTCATGAGCTGGCTTTTACTTGGAAAGGAGTGGTAGAGACTATTTTCTGTGGCTACAGTTGGTTAGTTTCCAGTCTAACCAACTGATAGGCACAGAGACAAAGACGACTAACATGACGCAACCAGCACTCACAGGCTATGGACTGAAGCCAGATGGCAGAGGAACTATACTTTGCCCTGGACTTGTGCTGCATTTGAAGAATCAAGTCAGGGGACAAGTCTGTCTCCCCCAGCACATGGACACCAACAGGGTCTGGCAAACAGAAGTACAGTCGTGCCCCGCTTGGACAATTTCCCCGCTCTATGACGAATCTGCATTACATCGACATTTTTGTGATCGCTTTTGCGATCGCAAAACAATGTTTTAAATGGGGGAATTTCGCTTCACGTTGATCGGTTTCCTGTTTTGGGAACCGGTTTTTCCCTTTATGAGGGTCAGCAAACAGCTGATCGTTGGGTTTCAAAATGGCCGCCGGCTTTCAAAATGCCCCCCCCCCCCTGTTTCTTAGGACGGATTCCTCACTATACAGGCACCGAAAATGGCTGCCGTATGGAGGATCTTCACTGGATGGTGAGTTTTTCAGCCCATTGAAACGCATTGAACGGGTTTTCAATACGTTTCAATGGGATTTTTTCGTTTCGTTTGACGATGTTTTCGCTCTACAGCGATTTCGCTGGAACAAATTAACATCATCAAGTGAGGCTCCACTGTATTTGCTTCACCACTATGGCAACAAAGGAATGAGTTCAGATGAATTGTTCTGAATTACCTTCCTTTAGGCTCAGCAAGTTCAGCTCTACTTACTGAATGGTTTATGTTTTCTATACAGAATATGCCTTACCTATTGAGCTTCTCATTCTGAGAATGGGCACCATCATCTGCAGACCCTACAGGCAGTAGCATTACATTCTTGCCTGTTGCTTCTTGGAAGGTCAAGGTGACAGGAATGCTTCCTCCCTCTCTAGTCAAGTCTGGCTCTACACCAAATACTAGAGAGAGAGAGAGAGAGAGAGAGAGAGAGAGAGAGAGAGATATTCTATCAAATGCATCCTGAACATAAGCTTTCTAATATTCAAGTGGACCGACACCTCCTTAAAGCAGCACCCACTGGTCAAATCCCCTCTTATGACTATTCCTCCAAGTGAATCTCCATGTGTGCAGATAGTGCCCAGTCTTTATGTTGGAGCTTGGCAGTTTATCTCCAGCATTGCAAATATACAAGGAGCATGATATTTAGATAGGTATCCCAAGGCTTGTAAGCACAGTGTTAGTACAGTGGTGCCCCGCTTGACGATGACCCTGCTTGACGACGAAAACGTTTGACTATGAGTTCCTATGAGGCTTTTTCACTTTACGTCGATTAGGTGCCTGCTTCGCGAACCGTTTGTTCACAAAACGATGTTTTTTTCAGGCTCCGCAAAATGGCTTCCCTTCGCAAAATGGCTGTTTTCCGGACAGAAGCTTCGGAAGACAGCGATTTTAAACAGCTGATTGGTGGTTCTCTATGGGCGATCTTCGCTGGACAATGAGGTATTTCCCCATTGGAATGCATTAACTGGTTTTCAATGCATTCCAATGGAGGGTTTTTTTGCTTGACGATTTCACTTAACAGCAATTTTCCTGGAACGATTATCGTCGTCAAGTGGGGCACCACTGTATTTTAATGACAGAAGGTCCGTTTCTCTGTGACCTTTTGATTAGAATTTCTAGAAAACTGTTGTATGATTTACTGACCTGTTTTCATGGCTTTTCTGCCTGCCACATAGTGGGGGTGGTTGAAATCTGACACCCATGGTTTTCCACCATGGCCCAAGTATACCTTGAATTTGTTTGGGCTCTGCAGCTCAGAAAACTTTTTGGACAAGTAATCTTGAACCTGTAACCATAACCAGAGTTAAAAAAGAAGAACCTTGTCTAATTCTTCAAGGAAGAGACAAATTTAGCATGAGCAGGGACAAGATGGAAATAGTGTATATATAAACATTTTACCTGCTAACAATGTAAATCAAATTACTCAAGAGCATCTTCAACTATACTGGCTTGCATAGCCTGCCCACCAATGGGGGCCCTTCATACTTGGGCTGCACCTGTAACTGTCCTCAGTGCTAGGTAAGTGCCATCTGGGATTAGTTTGGCCCTAATATTTCCAGCTGTAGGAAAGCCTGTGAAGACACATCTGTTTTCTTTGGTGTTTTCATAATGTTTTATTGTTTGATTTGTCTGGCTTCAATTGTTTTCCTGAGGTTTTGGTACTCTAAGGGGTATTTATTTGTTACCACTGTTCATGTTTATTCATTTTATTATGATTCACTATTTTATTATTGAATGGGACGTTATGTAAAACTACCTGGGGAGGGTTTTCGCCCTTTATAAAGATGCCCCAGAAATATTCTAAACAAATATTATTCTGTGATATCTTGTGGAGTTGGCAGGACAGTGCTTTATGTATCCGGCTGCAGAGTTCAATTCCCTGCTGTGCCTCTGTGTAGTAGAGCCAGACTGTGTAGGGCTTGGGCAAGCTGCACAATCCCAGGGTGCCCCCAGAGGAAGGGAGTGATCAGCTACTTCTAAGTATTCTTTACCTAAAAAACTGTGGAAAGGGCCACCATGTTAGAACTGACTTGACAGCACACAATTATTATATGATTACTGTCCTAGGGTAAAACACATTAATTGACAAACAACACTAAAACCAAGTGAGCGGGAGAGAAAAGTAACACATTTGTAGGGTGGAAGCTGACAGATGGGAAGAAAGATGCAAAATATCAGCGCCTACAAAAGTCAGTTAAACAGGATTTCTCTATTGCCTCTCCTCAATCACAGATTTAACATATGTTCCTGCCACCATAGCCATGCTCTATTGGATCACTTTTTCTTGAATATGCATGATTAATATTGCTCAGATCAAAAACTTAGCAGCACTATTGATCTCAACAGCATCATTACAAAAATGTAGGTAGCTTAAAAATGCTTGAGCTCTATTGGCCACAGTCTTATGGCTGATTTACATGTGCACAAATAAAACTGCTGTTTGTGTTCCTGCTCGTGCAACAGGTATGTCACCAGGAGTGTGACCAGCATTTCAGTCATCAGCAGTCATTTGCCATTGAGACTTAGGGAATGTTACTTATGCATGTGTAAACTGCTGATAGGATTCTGGACAAAGTGTTTTACGATAATAAAAAACCCCTTTAATTTAAGAGAATACAAGCTAATTCTAGTAAGGGCAGCAGATTAAAACACGAAATAACATTAAATGGGTTCAGTTTTCACAAGCACTACAATATTACTAAGACCAATAGCCCTCGAGGGAACACTGCAATTTTTAAAATCTGCTCCCCATTTCTAGTCATCTTAAAAACCATGTTTTAACAAACAATTATGTTACAGTTGGTTGTACCCCGACTTTGCCCCATCTCAAGTGAGCTCAAGATCTGGATTCTGTCTCTGTAGTAGAAGACAGAATCTGTATTAATTCTTCTATTTGAATTGTCTTCACTTGCTGTGCTCCCCTTACTAACACATCATACCTGCTTCGTCACAACTTCTGGAGTCATGTCTGGCACCAGTCGGATTGAAAATTTTCCAATTACTTTCCGTGGAATCACAGTTTTGGCACCTGATCCCGAGAAAGCTCCTTCTACTCCATGGATTGATAAAGAGGGGTATCGCCACCTATGCATCAATATATCTTTCTGTAACAAAATTGCACAGAGCATAAATGATTGGATGAGTCATCACACTATAGTTAGAATGATGTATAGCAAGCTACAAACTTATTAGGTTCCAGTGATGTTGTCTAACTAGACAACATCATTGTCATTGTTGCCCATGGGCATGGGCAACAAGAGGCCACAGTTCATTTTATGGCTTCACTTGGCTAGAATGAGTTGCACAAGCTGACTTCTACAGTTCTGCTTGAGGTGGGGCTAGTACTAGCTAAACGATGCCAGACCTTCAGTGTTTTCATGAATGTACTGTTGGCCACAACTGCTAAGAAAGCACAGACACTGTCATTGACCAGAATCATGTTAGAGACATACATGTGTGTCAGTTATATTGCATAGGTCATTTGTATCATCTATTCTTCAGAAGCAACATAGTAAACTACTGTTCACTAAAGCCCATCTGAAATGACAATGAAAAATTCAAAACTGAAATAGGTTGTTTCGTCTTATTTTGGTTTTTTGCAATATTCCAAGACAAACAAGAATGTCTCCCAAAAGCCAAAAGTTGCCTCATTTGAAAGAAGCCCTAAATGTGTAAGTAAGAAGGGCAGAAGGGCAAGGAAATGTGAGGTCAACATTGGAACTCTATGTATGTTTAATTAAAAGCAATGCCCACTTTGTTCTGTGCAACTTTTTCCCAAGCAAGCCTGCTAATCAGTGAGCAAAATGAATAAGGAAACCATGGTGTGTGCATTTGTGCATCACACCTTTGTTTCATGCAGCAGTCGTGTGGCTCCAACATCCTTTGCATACTCCGCCACATCAAAGTCAATTCGGTCGTAGAGTTGATGCTCCTCATCTGTGACAGGAGCCACTGCATCATAAAGGCCAGGAATGAGAATTTTCCCTTTCTTATCCACCAAGGACCCTGTTGGGAAGAAGACATCACGCAATATGAGAGTTGGAGAGAGGAACCAGAATTCTCCAAACACAAAAATATCTGGGGCAACAGAAGGAAACAATGCTGCTGCAGACTCTGATTCACCTTCCCCAGTATAGAAATTAAGAGCTAAAACAACTTCTGTCCCATGCTCAAACAAAAAGGCATATGAATGCTTTACTACATAGTTTGGCAAATGTTTCAGCCAAGAAACATCAAGTTCTTTGCTGTAACAGCTAACTTGTCAGACCGATATATGCACAGAGAAGCCCTTAAGGACTTTGCTTGCTCTTACCCAGTCACATTTCTAGTTATTAATTTCTTGGAGGTGAAAATTTACTGCTGTTGAAGTTCAAAGGTTTGCCTGCTGTATATGACCTTTTGGGCAAAGAGAGATCTCAGAGCTTTCCCTAGTTCATCTGGTTTAAAAATCAGTGACTTTTTTTTCAGTTCTTCTCCAGAACCATGATATTTTGACACAAATGTCAGAAACTTATATTTGTTAGGCTGCCGTTTAGGCAAGATTGAGAGTTGGTTCATGAAGTAACATCTGAGTGAATATGAGCTAGGGAGTTAAAGAAGTCACTGCTGATCCTATACATTTGCTATTCATAGGGCAGTAACTGCTGTTCCCTGCTGCCATGTTTTCTTCGCAATTGCTGGTCTCCAATAGAGTAAATACACTGAAACTGCTGCATCGTTAATCAACACTTCTGGTTCAATGGATTTACTCTAACTGAGACTAGTGGATGCAGGCTCTAGGCATTATTGATGGATTGATTGGTATGCTATACCGATGTAGGCAATAAAAGCAACTTAAACCAACTACATTTTGAACAATTCAGCGGCGGACATGAAGAGGGCAAAAATCCACAACACAGAATGCCAAAGTGAAGGCTTCTGGGAGTTGTAGTCCAAGAACATCTGGAGGCCCAAGGTTGGAGACCACAGCCCTACAGGATGTAGGCAATAAAAGCAACTTAAACCAATTACATTTTGAACAATTCAGCTGCGGACAAGAGGGCAAAAATCCACAACACAGAATGCCAAAGTCAAGCTATGTTCTTTGAAAGTGTTTGCAGCTGTTATGTGCCATCAGGTTGGAACCAACTTATAGTGTCACTAATAGCGCTTTCAAGGTAAATGAAATAAAGGAGTGGTTTTACCAGTTCCACACCCTCAGTGAGTTTCCATAGCTGAGCAGGGATTTGAACCCAGGCCTCATCCGTCACTCTGTCCACTACACCACATTGAGTCTATTTCCAACTGTTTACGTTATTTTAAATTAACTGCATTAAAAAAAATTGGCCATACTGTAATCCTATTGTTTACATACACTAGCATAAGTGCAATGGCATAAATGAAAGTGGTGAATTGTGATTAATTAAAGAATTACTGGTTATATCATTTACTGCGCTTTGCACAAGGCAAAAAATAAAACCAGTGATTCACTGCTGTAATTAATACTGCCATCTCTTTTGCAGGTTGCTTTCGGTCCCCATCCTGGGTGAAAGGCAAGACAGAAATGAGAATGAGAATGATGATGGTCAACTGGGCCCAAAATCTTGGGTCAAGGGCCACACTGTACCTTGGCACCATAATGAGACACATTTTGTGCCAACTGTACTCGTTTTCTGAGGCATTTTACAAACAGAATACCACAGTATGGGTCACATACATACAGCCTCTTTAAGCAGCAGAGATACGAAGGCATAATTTCAGTGACAAGAGGGGAAAGCCACTTGCCAGGGCTAGTTAGGATTGTCTGTTGATACCAAAGGTATTACATGAACTGCTGAATAGCTCAGAAGCTTAGGTATTGGGCTGTGTAGCCAGAGGCTGGGAGTTCAATTCCCCCCTGTGCCTCCTTGACAGGGGTTGGACTCAGTGATCCAAAAGGTCCCTTCAAGCTTTGCGGTTCAAACATTATATGCATTTACTTATTCAATCACACCTTCTGATACAGACAAGCTAGATTTACTGATTTGTTATAAATTGCTACTTTACTGGCAACCCTGTCTGAGACCTCAGTAGCAACTGGTTTCATACAAGAGTATGGCTCAACACAAGCCGTAGTTACACAGTTAAAACAGTTGACAAGCAGTCTGCTTGTGACTGCAGTCTGCAGGAGCCATATACATACAAAACAGTTGCCAGCTATCTTTTTCCTGTACATGGATCTTTGCCCTCTCAATGAGACTTCAGCTACTCTGTCAATTGTTAACATTGCCTTTATCTTTTCTTTTTAAAGAACATGAAATGCTTTTTTGAACTACTACTACTACTATTTCTGATGCAGGACCTCGAAGGAAGCATAAGCTTGGGAAGTTAACAGGCCTTACCCATCAAAGCAACAAGGTCAGTTAGAGCTTCATGCACTGAGCCACCATATACTCCAGAGTGAAGGTCTTTGTCGCTGCATTCCACCTTTAAGGCAACAAAGAAATAAAACTCATGGTCCATGAACAGTCATATGCCCTTGATTATTTCAATCATTCACTATTTCCTTGCTGCTACTAACTTATTCCGACACACCAGTATCAGGGTCAGGGTTAAGTTATGGGTAACTGCAAGACTTACAGATCCTTGCAAATTAATCTGTAGACCTTGTTTCAGAAAATATACTCAATTTCATTCAGTTTTCCCCCCTTCCAATTGTTTTAAAATCTACCCCCTTCTGTGGTCAACAAGAGTTACAGGATGGGGTCGAAGAAAGGAAAGACCTCGGGGGGGGGCACCACCTGCAATCATGGGCTACATTTTGCCCACCCTGACTTGACATACTGCTTCAAATTTGCTAAGTTAAGAATGTCATATTACAGACACTGCTACAGATGCTGAGGCAGCCTCATGTAACTGTTCAGGAGCCAAGCACTATCACAAAATATAATACAAAAGTTCACAACCACCATTTGCAGTCTCCACTTCACACGACAAATGCCAGGTCAGCAAAGACGTGGAAACTTCAAGCTAAAAAATACACAGCTCAGCCTGAAATCGTCTGCATACTTAGTTACTTTAGAGTGACTCCCATTGACAACACTGATTTCTGAGTAGGTATGCATAGGACTAGCCTGTAAAGCTCACTCTAGTTGTCCCAGCTTCTTGGTGCCAAGATTTACTCTTTGATTCTTTACCTCTATGAAGTAATAGCAAATGCCCCTGAGACCATAGGTGATGCAGGGTTTCTTCTTTCCCAGCCAGTAATTATCAGAGATGCAAACGTAGTCTACATCTTTGAGAAAAGTATCTTTTTGTGCAAAAATCAAGTCATCCAGGCCTTCAGAACCAGACTCCTCCATACCTTCTAGGCAAAACTTTACATTAACTGGAATTTCCTACAGGGAAAGAACACAGAGAAGCTTTATCACAAGGGTGTAGAAACAAATGCTTTTTCCCATTCAAAAGATATGCTGCATAAATTCTCAGTGGTTGTTTCACCTAATCAGAATTTGGTTTTAGAACTTGCGTTTAGTTTTTTTCATCCTCTTCCCCTCCACCAGCGTGTAATGTGCCATCAAGTCGGAACCAACTTACAGTGACTCTAATACTTCCATTCCCACATGGGTTTCCTTGGCCAAGTGAGGATTCAAACCCAGGTCTCCCGAATCTCCATTCAAAAGATATGCTGCATAAATTCTCAGTGGCTGCTTCACCTAATCAGAATTTGGTTTTAGAACTTGTGTTTAGTTTTTTTCATCCTCTTCCCTTCCACCATGCTTTCTGTATCTTATCTTTAGACTGTAAGTATATAGGCCAGGGGCCATCTCTCTTTTTAAACCTTTGCACACTGCCAAGGACAGTTTGTATGTGTGTGTTTGTGTGCATGCGCGCATAATGTGCCATCAAGTCAGAACCAACTTACAGTGACTCTAATAGTTCCATTCCCACATGGGTTTCCTTGGCCAACTGAGGAGTCAAACCTAGGTCTCCCGAATCTCAGTCTATCACTCTATCCACTATACCACACTGGGTATATCCAAAGGAAATCTCAGGGACATTTATAATAAAAGACAACATGACTGTGACTCCACTGATTCTCCAAGTCCTAGACATCTAAAACTTGGCATACATATGAAGAAGTCTGCACTTCAAGACTGCATCCATTAATTTAAGTCTGGTTGCAACCTGCAGTACCACGTGCATCACAAAGCTGCAAACTTCCATAACCAACAAAAAGGAAGGCACAAGCATATTTATTTCTCCAGAGCAGTGGTCCCCAACCTTGGGCCTCCAGATGTTCTTGGACTTCAACTCCCAGAAATCCTGGCCAGCAGAGATGGTGGTGAAGGCTTCTGGGAGTTGTAGTCCAAGAACATCATTATAGGCCATTAAGACTCCATATGCCTTGACCTACCTATAGGGAGAATAGGTGGGAGAAGGCCAAAGAAGACTGAATGGCTGAGGCCTGATGCAGATCAGAATAAAGTGTGCACACTCTTCCAGTCCAACTCCTCCTTGTTCTAGCTCCTGGTACACCCAAATTGGTACCTGGCTGGCTGGCCACACAGTACATTAGCCAAGTCTGTGAAATGTGTCATTAGGGTCACCCAGAAACTTCCCAAAGCTCCACTGCAATGGCGGGTGCCTCTCCGTCTCCATGATCCCACCACCAGGCTGCAAACCAGGCCTAGATGAGTTGAGGGGGCTCATACCTGATATCCCCGCTCCCCTACTTCAATACAACTTGCAAAAGTTATTTTTGGACTACAGCTCTCAGAGCCCCCTAGCTGCTACAGAATTCTGTGACTTGTAGTCTGAAAGATATATTTTCCCAAACTCTCTATAACAGTGGTCCCCAATCTTGGGCCTCCAGATGTTCTTGGACTTCAACTCCCAGAAATCCTGGCCAGCAGAGGTGGTGGTGAAGGCTTCTGGGAGTTGTAGTCCAAGAACATCTGGAGGCCCAAGGTTGGGGACCACTGCTCCAGAGGACCTCTAGGTAGCTCCTTATGACCCAGATGCATGGCAGGGAAAACAACATGCTGGAAATGACTAATAACGTTTGAAACCATCAAAAAGCTAAGACAGAAGAGGAGGTGTTGTTGCCCAGCAAGAAATCAAATGTCAAACTCCGCAGATTAAATTTTTATCTTAAGTGATAACTGTGATGGCTTAATACAAAGTTCAAGAGCTTAATTTTTTACTGCTGAGGCAGAATGTACAACAGAGTAGACAAGTATACCTGTTTGGTTTGTTGATAAGCCTCAAGGGCATTCAGCCAGGCGAGCACTGGACCTTTGTCATCCGTTGACCCTCGGCCATAGAGCTTCCCTAAAGCAGCAACAAAGAGGTCAGAGGCAGTGGTGATAACAGTGGAATGGAACATCTATCCAACTACCTAAGTCTCAGTAAGCGGCAGCATATAAGGAATACAGCGCCCCTTGCTTTGTTTGTACATCTCAACAGGTTTATCCTAGTTTTATGAATAAACCATTTGCTTGCCTGAAATCCTAATTACAGTAATCCCTCCATTTGTATACTCAATTAAAACATACATATGCAGATATCACTTGATGACTGTAGCATGAAACATCTATATTCATGGGTGAATGAGCTGTCAGAGATTACTGGCTAACATGCAGCAAGGCTCATAAATTAAGTCAGTTCACACACATTCAGCTGTGAGTCTATAAACTTCAAGTAATCAATGGACACCCTTAAAAATAAACTGCCTGTACAAGAGCTCTAGACAAGGCATAGTTGAGGGACATGTAGCTTTCCTGATGTTGCTGAACTCCAATTCTCCCCAGTCTAGATAATCCTGCTTATTTTTTATTTATCACATTTATATTCAGTTTTTCCTCAAGCCTCCTCCTCACTTTTTCCTTGCAACAGCCCCACGAGGTAGGTCATACTAAGGTCTGTCACTAACCAGCAGTGGCTCTGAGTTATGACAGAAATAGTGCTTCATAAACCCTCTGGAAAGCACAAAATTCCCCACCCTTGGCATAAGACGTTTTGATCTTGATTCTTCTCATCACTATATTCTGCCACACAGAGACCACTGCACAATTAGTGTTAGGTTTGTGTGCAAAATGCATGGCTGCATTTAACACATTTTTCTCCTTTAAGAAGAGCAGCTGCAGAGAATGCCAAACAAGAAGGGACCTTTGGTGTTGCAATTTCAACAAAATGTGATGCCCCCCAAGCTGATACATGTTCTGGAAATAAGCTGTCATTGTATTTCTCAGTCAGGCAGCAGCTTGGCACAACCACTATCCTAGTTGTGGTGCTTTGTATACCTCTGCCTCCTTGCAGTCCCAATCCTGAGCAGACCTCCTATGGATGCTATGTTTTACAAGAAAATACTGGCACATTAAATGCCACATTGCATTTAGCACATGCGCACGCACACACACACACACAAACCCCCGTGACCCATTTTCAGTAGCTGCTCTCCGACACACACACACACACACACAAAACCCCAGTGACCCATTTTCAGTAGCTGCTCTCTGAAAAAAGCCCTGATTTCCCATTTCAAGGCCTTAAGCACGATGCATGACAAACATGCAACAAGACCTACTTCAGAAGAAGCTGACTCAACTGTGGATATTGGCTTAACATTGTAGGGATCCACAGCCTGAATGAACATTGTGTTAGTGTACAAACACTGCATACAGTAGCTGCACCCAAAGGCCTCTTTTAACATTTGCCTGACAGTACAACTCCTGCCTGGGCTATGGATCTCAAGTACGCAAGCCCTGGTGAGCAGACCCATGTTAAGTGAGAAGCCATGTGATGTTTATACGAGAAACCATGTTAAGTGAGAAGCCATGTGATGTTTATATGATAAATACAGTATGGGAATGAGATGGGAAGGAAGTTGTCAGGAACTTATAAGAACACAAGAAAAGCTTACCCGAGTCACCTGTTTTAGCCAGGAAAGACGGCTGAGGGGCCTAACGCTGAGAGAGGTCCAGAAAGAAAGAACAAGAAACCGGGCCTTCTCGGCAGTGGCCCCTCTACTACGGAACACCTTGCCGCCAGATGTCACCCTGGCACCCTCACTGGGTGTTTTTAAGAGTCATCTAAAGACCTGGCTCTTCAGGCAGGCCTTCCCTCCAGTCAACACTAGATTTTCTTTTCTCTTTAGTTTTTTCTTCCATCTTGATCTTCTAATTTGCTGATTTAATTATGCGATTCTTTTATACATATTTTGATGATTAATTATGCAATTGTTTTATACATATTTTGATTACATTTGATTGCATTTTATAATGTTTTATAGTTGTTTTTAAGCCACCCTGAGTAGACTTTGTCTACAGGGGCGGGGTAGAAATCAAATAATAAATAAAGTAAAAAAATAAAGAGCCCTGCTGGATCAGGCCAAGGGCCCATCCTGTATCTCACAGTGGTCCCACCGGATGCTTCTGGGAGCACACAAGAGATACCTGTCTCCTGATACCCCTCCCCTGCATCCTTTTAAGCCTGGAGATTATACATCCCCATCATGGCTTGTAACCTGCAATTGACTTTTCCTCCAGGAATCTGTCCAATCCCCTTTTAAAGGCATCTAGGCCAGATGCCATCACCCATCCTGTGGCAAGGAGTTCCACAGACTAACAACATGCTGGGTAAAGAAATATTTTCTTTTGTCTGTTCCCACTATCCCAGTACTCCACTGGAGTGGGTGTCCCCTGGTTCTAGTGTTGCGTGAGGGGGAAAAGAGCTTCCCTCTAGCCACTTTATCCATCCCCTGCATAATTTCATATGTTTCAATCATGTCCCCCCTCAGGCGCCTTCCTCATAAGGGAGGTGCCCCAACTCAGTCATCATTTTAATCACTCTCTTCTGCACTTTTTCCAGTTCCACTATGTCTTTTTTGAGGTGCCACAAGCAGAACTGTATGCAATACTCCAGGTGCGGCTTTACCAGTGCTTTGTACAATGGCACTATAATGTTGGCTGTTTTATTTTCAGTCCCCTTTTTAATGATACTCGTAGGTCAGAGGCTTCCATGGTACACTTTTCAATCTCAAAAGGCCACATGAACTCTTGTAAAAGAGGAATTACTTCATGGTTTGCAGAATCCTACAGCTGGAGAGCTACAGGATTTCATCGTTACCATAATGACAGTTTGTGCCAGCTTAGTCATCAGCCTCTGGATCAAAATCATAGGCTTATGGATACAATGCTGTAATGGATAACATAGAAACTAATGCGAATCCACTTGCTAGGCTGAGCCAGCAGGAAAAAAAAATCAGGAATTCATTCAGCATTTTGGTGTTACTGAAAACAGCAACAGGGAATCAGGATATGCAAGAGAATATTGCAGTGTTCCTGCCACATTCAAGATGCTTCAGTCAACCACCACCCTCTTCCAGCACACTGAA